AAAGTGGCCAGGTGTGGGGGGAAAAAAACTGTTCTACAGTTTGAAGTTAAATAGACCTCCTGGGTATCAAAAACATCACTGGTCAATCCAATCAGTAAGTTGAATAATTTAGAAAAAAGTTTGGGATCACATTCTCTCTGAAGGAGCAGCCCTTTGCCATTTTGCAAACATTTTGCTTCCAGCTCCATGGGGTTCAGTGGCTATAATCATTCTTGAATAAGATGTCCATAGAAGTAATTCATGAATTTATAACCCCCCCAGTGAGACTATAAATCCATGTTGGATTGTTCTTGAAGATATTTTGGAGCATGCAGTTTGTACAAAATGCAATCATGAAGACCACAACTAGACAATCTTTTTTAAAGACTGCAGAGGCTGTCTTGTTTTCATGCTGATTCCATCTGAAGGTGCATTTATATTTAATGAACAGATCCTTAAATGCAGGACTTAGGAGCTTTCTGTTTTGTCTAATTACTTAAGTCTTGTCTAATTACTTAAAGGAGTCTTCTTGCTGTATGGGATCTGGTCAAGAAGCCTTTCTGGTTTTAGAACCACTGAATAATTTGTAACAGGGCATGAAGTTGCTTTTACATAAACATTGGCATGGCTACTTCTTTGTATGACCAGATCCTAAACAAATCTTGACCACTTCCAAGTTTTTAATGCTATGGGGTTACCTAAAATACACAGGGAGATGAATAAGATCAACTCTGCTTCCTTTTTCTTTCCGCAAGCAAAAGTCTAACCAGCCTAATGGACCATCTGCTATCAGAATATGAGTCTCCTGGGAAAGAATCCCACATCTGAAAAAAATATCATACAAGGTCTGGTCTCTACTATGTTTCTGTCAAACTCTTTATCCACAAAATAATGTGGACAACAATTTGACCTATAATAATAACAACATAAAACATTCTTTCAAGTAACCAGGGTCTAGAATAGATAATTTACTCAACATGTTTCTTAAGAAAAACAACTGTCTGCTCTGTATTTTTTCACAAAATGTTTAATTCAGTCTACAGCTTTGCTGTTTTCTATTTTTTTTGTTGTTGCATTTTTCCCTGTGGGCTTCTAATGCCATTAACTGCCTTTTACAGTACTCAACAGCTACAGACAGCATTTTAAATATATAGCATAACTGGTGGGGACCTCTTGGGCAATTATGTGACCTTAGGAATAGTCCTCATTTTTCAAGACAGTACAGCAGTAGGCTTGGTCTGGTCTTCAGCCCAGTTTTCATGTTCTTTTGCAGTTATTATTTTGTATGGCTCCTTTGAAAAATACCAATAATTTCATATTTCCCTTGTTTGGATATAACTACGGACTTGTTCTATTATTACCCATAACAGGAGCCAAATTTACAACTGAGGGAATTCAGACTAGTTTCCAAAATTCTGAGCCCCCCCCCCCCCCCCCCCCCCCATACCGGTAGCTACTACTTTTGTACCCATTGTTCATATGCAGCTGCTACCGCCACTAGATTGAACCTGAAAAGCAGTGGTGGGATTCAAATTGTTTTACCACTGGTTTGGTGGGCGTGGGTTGGTGGGCATGCTTTGCCTAACACCAGAGCGCAGCTTTCCCCATACCAGCTGAGACCTGCAGTGCCAATTAGCTGAGAGGATAAAGAAGAGAAAAGTGCAGAGGCAGGTAGGAAGGCGACCCTGCTGGGATTTTGTCCCTCCTCTCAGCTGATCGTCGGCTTTTTTTTTTACTACTGGTTCAGTTGAACCGGTCCACCACTGCTGCAAAGAGAATTGACTCTTGCTCTGTGTGAATTTCTTAAATGGAAAACTTTGATTTTATCCATGCCACCATAATTTGTCACTCTAAGCTTGTACAAGAAAACATGCCCAGAGATATAGTCTGAGTAGTTGGACAGAAGTGTCCCATCACCTTTAATAAAAGAGCTCTTTTCTTTTCTTTTCTTTTTTGCCCCCATGATTAAAATTCTCCTTGGATTGATCTTATTGTGACAGCCTCCAAGTAGTGTCTATAAGAACAATACAGCATAGCTTGCTATTGTCTTTTTTTCAGGATGGTGGTTTTCAACTTCCCAGTCTAGTCAACAGAGAGACAATTTGGTGTAGTGGTTAAGGCATCATGTTAAAACCAGGGGACTATTGAGTTCTAGTTCTATCTTAGGCACAAAAGCTAGCTAGATTACTTCAAACCAGTTAATTTTTCTCAGGCCTAGGAAGGCAACACTGCCGAACCTCTGTAAAACCTTGTCAGGAAAACAGCAGGGACTAGTCCAGTCAGTTGCCAGGAGTGGGGAAAAAATTACTCAAGGGGCCTCCCTTCCCCAATCTAGTCAATAGCCCTGGTATTCCCAGGTGGTCACCCTTTCAATACTAATCAAGTCTGACTTTGTTTCACTTCCAGAATCATCCAAGCCTGGCAGGTTGTCATCTACTATTGCTTGTTCTTCGTTGATCCAACTCTCAGATCAAAATGTCTTAAAATCAGAAGGCAGAAATACTATAGAAAATGCCTATTATTTCCTGGTCTCTGCTAACCTGGTAGGCTTCAGTGTATTGGGATGTTCAATCTCAGAAATCCCTAACTATAGGCATGCCAAAATTTTAGTTTAACTGCAATCAATTGTCACTAGGATGGATAGGTTGTTCCACACCATGTGTAAATAAAATGCCCTTGTGCTATCATTTCACATGCAATGAAATGCTGTGTATCTGTTTAATTTAATTACAGGATTTTCAAGGGTAACCTGGACACATTGCAAAGGTTACTAAAGGAATTCAATGCATAACAGGCTTGGGAATAGTAATTACGGAAATTTTGGTTGAAATTTACACAGAAATAGTGCTAACCGGATGAGAATAAGCCAGTCATTAGCATTTACCTCATCCTACTTCTCAGGAATAAAATGAAGAGAAACTTCCATGACACCCACTGAGTTCCCAGAGAAATAATGGGATATAAATCTAATATTTTATAAGTTGATATTTACTATATCAGTGGAGTTTTTGATCAAGCATGTTCAGATGTTTTCTATGCCTAGGTACAAAATACTTTGAAGTGTTATGAAAAGGATGCAAAAATACATGAAACAATTATGCTCAAAAGTTCAGATATAGCTTCATATTTTAGTGTATTCTGGATTTAAATTACAAAAGGCTAGGGAAAAATTTTGTAACATAATCTAACTGAACAATGGAAAAAAATATCCTTGGAGTATTGTATAAGTTCACATTTTTAGATGATTTCAAGAAAAGTTAACACAGGCATCAATCAAGTATCCTGTAGTTAATGAACATTATGTTCAGAACAGAGATATGCTTTTTGTTAACAAATCCTGTTCAAACAAGGAAGAATTTCATTTTCCAGTGGGAATGGGGTATTACTCAGTTGTAAAAAATATTTGGGCACCATGAAGCTTATTTTTTTAATGACACTAGCTTCTTGAAATCACTATGAATGCCTCCAATTTCTACATTTTATTTCTCTTTAATTTCCTGGGCCCAAGTAAGAGTAAGAGACAGCTGTTGTGTCCTCCAGCACTGGCAATGTGCAATGCAAATGTATTAATTGCTGTTGCCCTAACTTTTATGCTGGCTTTGTTTCCCCACTCAGACCCATGGTGCCTATAAATTCCTTTCTTGAGATTATGAGTCTCTTGTGACATGAGTCCACTTTAAAAGATTTTGATTCCATTAAATTTATGCTAGTTGTTAAGCTGCAAGAAGACTTCCTTATAATTTGAACAGTCACCCACACTCTGTTTTTGGTGCAATCTCTGCATTTTGTTCAGAAACTAATCTGAGGTCAGGAGAAACCGTTCCTCAAATTTGCAATAAAAATCATTTGTGTGAAGTTCTGATTGCATGGAATGAATGACTTCATAAAATCATTTTCTCTCTCCTCAGACATGGTCTATTTTAGGAATATAAAGCTCAATGCCATGCCTGAAACTCAGCAAAGGAAAACCACAATAATGATTTTCCTGTATCAAAGAGCACTAGCCATTTGTTTTCCAAACATGATTTTGTACTCCATGAATCAATGGACATCATGGCATCCAAGAACTTGGGTAAGAATGCAGTCTAAATTAAGACCCCTCCACTTTGGCTAAAGAAGTCAGATTTAGTATTCTATTTCTGTTATTTTTTAAAAACTAGAAAATTTAAGGAGTTTTGAAATATTTGGCAATCCTCTCTGTGTGTGTGTATGTGATAAGTATATATGTGTAAAATTATGTGTACATAATTTTTCCATTACACACACATACATATATGCTGTGTGTGTATATATGTGTATACATTGAAAGGATGGTTGAATAACACAATAAAACCCATGCTGCTTCCAATTCCGAAGAAACGTTGAGCCTCAAAGTATAACAGGTTGTGTTTGCTCATTTACTTCCCACATAATCAGTACAAAGCTTCTACTTAAAAGATGTTTCCTGTGAAAAGGTTTTAGTATTGACAACTGTTACGAATAAACTTTGTGTGCCTTTTAACAGATTATTATTTCAGTGGCAATATTTGAGCAAGGATATTTACTTTCACAGAACACATGCACAATGTTTGGTATCAATGCAACGACATACAGTAAATGTTGAAGTTATTTTAAGTCAATCAAAACAGAAAAAGTAGTAATAAGAACACGAGAATCATTTCAAATTTCAAATGAAAGGTATGTTACCCATCTTATTTCTTATTGTGATTTTATATTTTTCCATTCTTTCACTATCAGTAGTCTTGTACAATCAAACACTGATTACAAACATGCTGCATTCGGAATCCTTTTGAATGAACTTCTGAACTTGAGTTGGGAAAACTGAACCATTTTTTTTCTATATTACTGCAAACTAATCATATTTCTTGCAAAATGTGTGATTTGTGAGTGTAGAACCAGAAGTGTGGCATTCAGAAAATATAAATAAATATGCAAATGTCAATAAAATGTCAGCAATCGTAAAAAGTTCCATTTTACCATTTTTAGAAAGGTAGTTTTTGTGCAAATACATTTCAGAATAAATGCTGTAGAATATATAATGAGTATTATAACCATATTTGAGGTTAACTATAACTGAAAGGTCATTGTTTTTCAACTGGACAATATAATATGTTACATAGGATTAGTTTTGCAAAATAAAACGCAAAGTACATATTATTTCATCCCTCATCATGCCTAGAGATTCATTCATTATGTGATGTATTGTAAAGTTTCTTCTTTTTCTTTCTTTCTCTCTTTCTCTTCTTTATTTCCTTCCTGTAAATCAAAACTGGGACAGGTGTGGGATTCTGCCAGTTCGGACTGGTTTGGGCGAACCCCTAACTCTGATGATCAGTTGGCTCTGAAGTGGTTTTCTCAGATGATCATGTGGGCCTGCCCAACCGCCCCTGCGTTGGACTCACCTATATCTGCTCAGCTGATTTGCATGGCAGTGGATTGCCACGCCTCAGCTGCGTTACTTCCCAGAAGTAACATTGAAGGTAAATAATTTTGAAAGCTGTTCAAGTGCGCGCAATGATTAGCGAACCAGTTGTTACCCCGGCAGCATCCGACCATTGAACTGGGATATTTTTATACGGACTAGGAGTCACTAATAAATAGCTGCTCTGTATTAAGATATGTATCTAGCAGTGGTTTTTAAAAGTGCAATGTGCTTCCAACATTCTGAAAGGCATCCCCATAAATTCGTTCTACATTTGCTATACAAAAGTCAAGAGGCTCCAATCCAATGAATGGAAAGAAAAATCTGGCACTAAGAAAGTACATACTTTAGGGAGGGAGGGGGGGAGGCATTCCATTAAGCTGCAACAGCTGAAGAGGAAAATAGTTATTGAAAAATCCAGAATCTCCAGCTAAAATGCCCAGACTGCTCTGAAGCAAAAAAGCAGTCATCTCTTTAAAAACAGCAGGTACCAATTCTGCCACTAGTTGGACTCTGGACGGAGCATATCCTTGAGGACAATCACACAAGCAGGGGCAGAACAGTGCCTCTCCGGTGAGTGGCTGGAATACTGCTGGGAATCAGCTCTCAGCTTTTGCTTGCAGAACATTTCCCGCATCCCTTGCCGGAATTTGGGGTCCCAAACACTGTAGATAGCCACATTCCAACAGCTGTTGGAAGCAAGGATCCAGAAAGCATAGAAGGAGAATTGGCACCATTCATATCCCACCACAGCGCCCACAACAAATACAGCAATTGGAACGAAAGACACAGAGAATGCAAAGGTCAGGATGCCAATGGTCCTGGCAGCCGTGACATCTGAGTGAGAGAGCCTGTGGGTTCCCTGTGGCTCTTCCCTCAGTTGCTTCCTCATTTTGCGGTACTGCCGGAGGGTGGCAAAGGTGATGGCGTTGACAACAAAAGTGCCCCCTAAGAGGGCAAAGTCAAATATTGGGTACAGGAGCATGACGTTCCAATTGGACTCGGGCAACTTGTTCAGAGGAAAGCCATAGTTGCACATCTTGCTGCAGGGATTGTACTCAAAGGTGATATTGGGAACCGAGAGCAGAGGGATCACTGCCAAGGAGAAGCTCAGGATCCAGGATCCAAGAATGAGCCAAGTGATCCTGCGCTTGGTAATCACGGCTTTCCTGTGCAAGGGCTTCAGCACAGTGATGGTCCTCTCCAGCGAAAGCAGAAATATGGTGCTGATGGAGACGAAGGTGCAGCCTGCAAAGATAGGGCCGGTGATCCAACAGACCGACCAGCCAGCTGGACTCTCTTCTTGCTCCGCCCCGCCATAGGCCAACGTGTTCGTCTCCTGATAAACTGAGTAAGGGACTACAATGAGCCCCACCGCCAAATCAGCAAGCGCCAAAGAGGCTTTTAGGTAGCTTTGGGCTGTCCGGAATGGCCTTACACAGAAGAAAACCAGGAGACTCACCAGGTTTCCAAGAGTGATGGCAATGATCAGGAGGACCATGAAGAGGAGCTGGCAGACCACTCCAGCAAAGGCCAATCTGCAGTCCGTACTATTGGCATCCCTGTTACTGCTACTGTTTCCCAACATGGATCAGGCTCTCTTCCCTTCACAGGGCAAAACAGAAAGAAGCCAGCTGGGGAGCTCTGCTTTCAAGGTGCCATGGAAGAGGCTCTACAGGCTAGCAGTTTTCCAGGATGCTTGGCTCAGAAACGACCAATTCCTAGGGAAGTGCATGCCAATAAACGGTTCAGTCATTGGAGCTCAGAGCAGCAGGTACAGTCACTTAGTCTGTAGGTACATGAAGCACCTGAGCAAAATTCAAACAGGAAGGGCTCTGAAACGAGAAGTCTTCTCCATATGTCAAAAGGGGAGCGGGGTGGAGGAGACAAAAGTCAGAGAAGCAACAGCTCAACGGAGGAATCTGACCTGTGGCTTGCACCATCAATATTCGAAGAGTAAGTCAACATTTTCAATCACTGTGTTTGATCCGCCACAAGAACATCCTATTTTCTCTCCTCCTCTCTGATAACATATAGTGACTTGATGATGAATATCCTTGAAGCATTTTGATGCTATTTGCTCCTCAATACAATGGAATATCCAGGCCCTTCCCCTTCCTTCTGTGGTGGGGGAGGGGGACCAAGTAACCCCGGACAGCAGCCTTTCAGGATAGAGCTTCAGGGCTGAAGACCCTGCATCCCACAGAGTCCCGGATTACCCGATTGCACCTCTGCTTCTAACCCACTTCAGAACTACCTCCCTGTGGTAAATGCAGAAGGGCTTCCTCAAAGGGGGTGCATCTTCGTAACCCTTTCCTCCGCACGTGGAGGACGATCTTCCACGGTGAATGCTCCCACCCAGGACCGAAGCCTGTTAATGCTGTCCATCAGCCCCCCACTCCAGCCCACCCCACCCACCCCAAAACAGAAGGTGGCTTTGAAAAACGCACTTCAAACTGGGACCATTGGTGTCCGGCATCTTCTTCCAGCAGCGCAAAGTAACCCTCGCAACAGGGATGAAGTCCGACATCAGCTGAGCGAACCGGCAGTCCGCGCACGGCGAAATCGCGGGCCCTGAGCACATTTCTGCCTTTCTCGGCATTGCTGGTCTCCGCAACGATCTTCGCCGAGCTCCTCGGCCAAGCCCCGACGGGAGCTGCTGGGCGGGCACCGAGGCCCTTCCTGCAGCGCCAAGAGCGTCCGGCTCCTCCTCGCAGCTCCACTGCAAACTCCGGCCGCCAGCAGTTCCTGCGCGGCGCCCCCCACCCACCCCACTCCTTCGCTTTCAAAGGCCGAGCCCGTTCTTCGGAAGAGCTTCGCCGCCGCCGCCGCCGCCTCCGTCCGTCCTTCTCTCACCTCGCTCTCTGCGCGGTGCCTTCCAGCGATTTGCTAATAGAGCCGCTGGCAACAGGTGCCGCTTACCCTGGCTGGCCCGCTGAGGAAGGCAGGCAGGTGGGGGTCCGCTCAGGCGTTCCCGTCTCCCGAGTCGTGGAACCGAAGCCCTCCGCCCAACCGAAGGGCAGCCGCCGTCTGGATTTTCTCTCCCTAAAGCAAGGCAGCCCGGTCGGGATTGTTCGAGGCTGGCCGCCCCGGCGGCTTCTGCGTCTGCCTAGAGGCGGCACCTTTGCATCGCGCTGGACGCCCGAAGGAGCCCGGAGGCGGGAAGACCGTCGATCCTTGCCGCGCCTTTCTCTGCCTTCTCGAATTCGTGGACAAAAGAGCCCCCTTGAGACCCTCAGCTCCGGACGTGGTTCCTCGTCACCTCGGGAAGCCGTATCCTATCCCCTAAGCACCGAACAGGAGACGTCTACGGAGATTCTCAGGGATGGTGGTCCCAACGGTGCTTTTTCGAAGGGCAACTGGATTGCCTTTGGTTTTTGCTTGAAGACGTTTCGCTTCTCATCCAAGAAGCTTCTTCAGTTCAACAGAATTAGGAGGAGGAATTAACTACTGGAGATGTTGCTAATTTCGTTTAGAAGCACAGAAGACTGTAGGCCAGACAAGGAATAATGGGTGGAAACTGAACAAGGAGAGATTTAACCTGGAAACAAGGAGAAACTTTCTGACAGGGAGAACAATCAACCAATGGAACTGCTTGTCCTCAGAAGTTGTGGAACCGCCATCACTTGAGACTTTCAAGAAGAGATTGGACTGCCATTTGTCAGAAATGCTATAGGGTCTCCCGCTTGGGAGAGGGGTTGGACTAGATCAGCGGTCGCCAACCAGTGGGCCGTGGCCTACTAGTGGGCCATGAGAAAATTTTGGTGAGCCGCAGAGAAATCTCACCCCCAGAGCACCCCCCCAAAGCAATTAATCCAGGCTGCGCAGAAACACAAGGCTGTGTCGCCCACATGGCCCACGGGAACCCTCCCCACCCACTCACTCCTTACCCAGTAAACTTGCCTGCTAAATTGCTATTTTCCCTTTTTTCCAACCATCAGATGTTCTGCTGTGCCGGGAGATTTAGATTATCTAGGAAGCAGGAAATGGTTGGATTTCTTGCTTTCTAGCTAGTTTTTAGATTTTCAGCTCAGCACAGCTGAACCTCCCTTAGGACTGAAAGTTTGCTTGCAAGCAAATTCAGTGCAGACTCACAGCAAGCAAATTTGAGAGACTGAGCTAGCCGATGGCAGATTCTGTGAGCAACTCAATCTGCCTGCTTTGCCTGATTTTGGGTAAAAGTTGTTCTTTTTTTAATAAAAATTCAATATTTATATAAATATTTATAATATTTACATACAAGCCATGCCCAGCCAGTCACATGACCACCAAGCCACGCCCACAAATTAGGCTACGCCCACAGAACCGGTTAGTGGTCCCTGGGATCTAAAATTATGAGTTTGGTAGACCCTGTGGTTCAAAAGGTTGGCGACCCCTGGACTAGATGACCTACAAGGTCCCTTCCGATTCTGATTATTTGTTATAAGACTTCCAGGGTAAAGCCGACCAGTAATCTAAATCAGTGGTTTTTAACCTGGGCGATATTGCCCCCCAGGGGGCAATTTCATTTTTCAGGGGGGCGATGGAACAAAAAGGGGTGACGCGGGGGCGAATAAATGGAAGGGGGGCTATATGGGGGCAATGGAGAGAGAAGTTTTGAGGACACTTTTGAGACTTTTTTTCGTACAGTGAACCGCTGCATATCTGTCGTACAAAAACATCAGATCGCTTGCTATTAGTGGATTGAACTGTGTTTTGAAATGTTCCTCCAGCTAGCTTCAGTACAGAACGTCGTACATATGTGAATATGCATCGCTCATCTTCATGCGCGTTGTGCAGCAGCCTCTATCACTCTACCCATTAAATTTGTCGCTCTGATTTTTGTTGCTTTCCTTCTGTAAAAATTTTCTTTGTATCTTTTTAACCCTTTTTATAGTGTGCATGAATATATATTTTCCTCGAATCTTAATTTAGTTTCAGAGTTTTCATCTTGGAATTCTTAGTTCCTGCACTGCGGTTTGTTCTTATGTCCTTTTTATATTTCTTTTTGTGTCTTAAAATTCACTTGTAATTAAATCATTAAATGTTACTGTTTTTTTCAGGCATTTCATTTTCCTGAAATTGAATTTTGTTTTCAGTGGTCATTGCATTTAAGTGTCTTGAATAAATAAGATAATAATGAAATACATGTATCACGAAGTTTGGGAGTAAAGTGATGGGTGGCATAAGAATTTTTCACACAGTTGAGATATGGGAAAAAGACTGGAAATAAATTATTTGCATCGATATGTCCTGATGACAATTTTAAAGAAAACAAAAACCGTGTTGGCATAAATTGAAGAATTATTTCCCTGTGTTGTGAGTGAGAGGCTATGTTGGGGGAGGGGGGTGATTATAACTTCCTCAATGGCTCAAGGGGGAAATTCTTTCAAAAAGGTTAAGAACCACTGATCTAAATCAGTGTTTCCTAACATCCACCACTTTAAGATATGTGAGCTTTACCTTAAACTTGAAGCCCACATGTCTTAACAGTTGTTGAAGTTGAGAAGCACTAGTCTACATGGCCCAGCCTTCTCCATTCAGGTACCTTCCAGGTGGGTCAGATAGTATAACAGCTCTTATCAACCCCAGGCAACATGGATGACTGACTGGCCTGTTTTGCCAGGAGGGTAGGCGGAGTGCTATGGTTTTTAAAAATAGATACCCAATTTATGAAGAGATATATGTCTCAGTGCTATTGTTATTGTGGATAGTGAAATGGATGGCACATTTTTTCCATAAGAAGAAAGTCTCCAGTAATTTCTCAAGGGAAGAATTTCCTGTTAGCTATGACACAGAGTGGCAAAAGCCTCATGGGAGGAATAGAAACTGAAGCAAGAAGTGAACTGAAACATGGGAAGGCAATGGAGAGAAAGTAGCAAGAGGGAGGAAAGGCTATTGAGTCCCCACAATTACAGTCACTTATAATCAAATAAATGCAAAAATGCCATTCTCTCTTCTTGAGAATTTATCTGACATTCCCTTCTCTGTTAAATGTTTCTCAAGCACTTTCTCCCCACCAAACTAAACAACAACTGATACAAAAATATACAAGAAACTATCTCAATCCAGCATTACACCAGAATTTTTCTGGAGATACCTGAGGTAGAATTTAAGATTTCCTGCACAAAAAAGACACTCCTGAACTACAGGTCCCCTTAGTTATTGTAATCTAGTCTCGAAGTTGTGTAGTTTGCCAGGCACATGTTCTCTGTGTTTACAATTAAAATCTTCAGGTTTTTATTGAAGGAGAAAAATAGATAAGCAAGATAGGCAGAACACCCTCCCCAAATTATTTCTAGGGGATTACTTCTAGAACTACTTCTTAAAGAAGTAATAAAATGCCAGTTCAGCCCCCCCCCCCCCCCCCCCCCCCCCC